TAGTAACCCGTTCAAAACATCGTAGAGCATCTCAGTGCAACGGATAGATGCTTCTACTCCTCAGCTTCGCTCTTAACTTTGGCGGCAGCCTTGACGAGCTGCTTGAGACGCTTCTCCATGACAGTGCGTCCGTCGAGCGTGTCCCAGACCTGATGAGGTGCCTTGTTGACAACATCCCAGCTGACGAGGTTGTCAGTGAGGGTAGTCAGATCCTTCTGCTTTCGCTCCCACTCAGAGTCCGTCTTGACCTTGATACCGCTGGAGACGACGACGAGGGGAGTGTTGGCGCTCTGAATGTTCCTAGCAGACGAGACCTCGTTCTTGGTCAGGCTGTCAGCGACAAGGTTCTCCTGGAGCTGCGCCTTGATGTATTTGCCCGATTGGTACGCGTTGCGGCCGTAGACACGGTCTTCACGAGTGCGACCCTTGAAGAGGGCACCTGCGAGACGGACAGTGCCGATTGGTGAGATGATACCCCAAGCCCAGAGAATGAAACCACGGCCGGGTCCACCGATGCGGTGCAGAAGATCCTCGTGGAGAGGATCGATCATCATTATACCAACGACCTGCTTGAGGTGGCGCGAGCTGAAGATACGAGAGACGATGCTGCCAGTACCCGCAGAGACGAGAATATAAGGACCCTCTTCCCCAGCCTTAGCAAGAGCTTCTGAGAATGCGTCCGCGGACATGCCGGCCGAGTGTGGGGAGGGTGCGTTGTCAGAGAAAGCATAGCCGGGGCGGTCCCAGTAGCAGTAGCGGGAGATGGTACCGTTCTTGTAAGCTGCGTAGGCCCAGTGCTCGAAGTCGTACTCCAATGGCGATTCGCCCGCCTCGAGGAGGATGGTAGGGTCGTTGACGCCGTGGGTCTGGGTGACGTTTCCGACGCAGGCGAGATGAACGGCGTACTTGTCACCGTCTACGAGGATGCGTTCACCATACATCTTGAGTGTTGCGTCGCGGCCACGCATACCGAGAGTTCCAGTCATCAAGATGACGATGACGATGAAGATGACGGTGAGAATCGTAGCGACGGTAACAGCAAGCCATTCCTTCAGTGTGCGGCGCGTCTCGGCTCGGCCAGTAAGACGTTCCTCCTCTTCGTGCTTGCCGTATGCGACGACACGATCGGTCAGAATGCACCAAACAGCCATGACGAAAGCCCAGACAACACTTGCGATACCGACCCAGCCTTCCTCGAGCCTGATGCGAGGAATGGCCAAGATAAGGATCATATCGACGGCTAGGAGTCCGGCGATGATAGCCGTGGTGATGCGCAGACCTCTGGCAGGAGTAACGAAGAAGATGGTTGCGACGAGAAGGTTGCCAAGGGTGAGACATGTGTAGGCGAAGTCGAAGAAGCCGGATCCACGAGTGTGTAGGCCAGGAGGAGAGACGAAGATGGAGACCAGCAAAAGCACCCACCACAAGAAGGTGACTACGAGGAAGAGGATGGTCAAGTATCGCATGGCGCGAACAGTCCATAGGTTGTATGGTGACACCTGCCATCGTTAGATGAATCTTGATAAGAACCTTGAACAACTTACAGCTGGGTCATCTGGATCGAGGTAGCCATCTGAGTTGGGTGGTGGCCTGGGACGGTCGAGAAGACGGGACCTCTCAGTGGGCTCTTCGCTTCTTCTCGACGCCCCATTACTTCTGCGCGAGGATCTCGACGCTCCATCGTCGTTGGAAATAGGTGTGGGTTCTTGGGCTGACAGAAGACCCTGGCCGCCATTGTCGTTGTCATTTCCTTTCCACATGCTGGGCATTGGGAGCTCTTGGAGCTACAAACACCTGCGATATGGTAGTCTGAGCGGACGATAACACTTATCGGTGCTTTGCAAGGATCCGTAGAGGTCCAAGGAGAGATTGGAAAAGATTGGAGCTATTCGAAGCTCGTGAAGCTTCCAGGAAGGCGACCGGGGGCGTGGAGGTTTTACTTATGCTTGACGCGCTAAGCCAAAGATCGACCGACGTCATCATCACAGTTCATCCAAGTTCGCGACTAGCGCACATCAGAAGGCTAGATCGTCCCGCGGAAACCTCCAAGCGATCCCTACCACGTACCAACCATCTCCACGGTACCGCCCAGCCTCGTGCCGCATCTCACTGTCGTCTAACGCCGCTGCGTCATTGGATTGCGAAACGGGCTTCGCGATGCATCTCTTTTTGCCTCGAACGGCCTCTCGCTAAGACATTGGCCTTTATCCCTGCCATCTATCTGATAGCACCCCGCTTGCGTCAAATCCCCTCACGCCTCCAGGCCACGACATATTGGAACGCTCGAGAGAAGCTAGCGGCCAATCACTGACGGGCGGATCTCCACGCTCACGAAACCCTGATTTTTCGACACAAATACAGCCTCGCCCAAGCCACCATGTCCAGCTTGGCTAGAGAGTTCGCAAAGACTAAACTTTCTTCTCTGCCACCGCCGGAGCCCTTGCAGGAGGAGCCTCCCGAGTACGAAGATGACTCGTCTTCGGCATCGTCAATGTCTAGCACCGGTACTGTCAGACCGTCAAATACACTAAGACCCGCCCCCGCAATACATTGGTCCGACTACTACGCCCAGGAGTTCTATCTTGAACAGCGCAGGGATGGGTCAGGGCATGCCAAGTTTCATGTATACCTCACACCGCCGGCGACAGCGAAAGCGCCCTTGGTCGTGCTCCACCATGGCGCCGGGAGCTCAGCAATGTCCTTTGCGCTGGCAGCCAAGGAGATTCGCAGGGCCATGCCAGAAATTGGGATCCTAGCTGTCGAAGCACGCGACCACGGAAGTGTAGTATGGAACGCTAGTGGAGAAGTGGACAACGACCTGAGCATTGGGCAGCTCAGTCAAGATTTGGTCGACATGCTGTCGCTGACCAAGAGCAAGATGAATTGGAAAGAGCTCCCACAGATTGTCTTGATAGGACACAGCCTGGGTGGTGCAGTCGTCACCGACGCTGCGAACAAGGGCTTACTAGGAAACAAGTTGCTGGGCTTTGGAGTGCTTGATGTTGTCGAAGGCTCGGCCATGGAGACACTGGCACATATGCACACTTACCTTGCGAGTAGGCCCAAGTCGTTCCCTTCGCTTCCTGCTGCTATCGAGTGGCACATCCGATCACGAACGATACGCAACCCCCAGTCGGCGCGAGCAAGCGTACCAAGCCTGCTACTACAGAACTCGGATGGGCGATGGGCATGGCGGACAGAGCTCGCGAGCACGGAGCCATACTGGGAAAACTGGTTCACGGGCATGAGCGGCAAGTTCCTCAGCGGAAAGGGTGCTAAGTTGCTGCTGCTCGCTGGAACCGACAGGCTGGATAAGGAACTGATGATTGGGCAGATGCAAGGTATGTCTATCGCCTTGTCGCTTTTGTATGAGGTATCTAATGTAATACAGGTAAATTTCAACTCCAGGTCTTCCCTGCCGCTGGGCATTTCCTCCACGAAGACCTCCCGGAAAAGACTGCTGAAGTCGTGGTCGAGTTTGTGAAGCGCAACGACCGGAGTGCGCTTGTTCTTCCGCCCAAGGTCTCTGATCTCCTTGCGCAAGGCAAGAGAGTATAGGACTACCATCGCGTGTCTTTGGATTTAACGCGCTCGTCCGAATTGACCTATATTATGCATGAGATACGATCAGGGTAGGTTGTCCCGCCGATTCGGCTCTCAGACCTTACAGCCTCCAGTATATCGGGTCTCGCATGTTGGCCCACACTTGGACCAAGTTCTCCTGCTCCGGCTATCATGGCGAGGCAGGCTCACCTCCATCCGGCGCATCGCCGCCATCATCAGCCTTGGACTTGTGCTTCCTCCTCCTCTTACGAGGTGCTGATTCTTCCCGGTCGCCTCTCTGACTGTCACCACCGTTGGTCTCAGATGTAGACGGCCGCGACTTCTTGGTAGCACTGGGCTTGGTCGTCTTGTCATTCTTCGGCTTCTTGACGCTCAGCGGGTTGGGTCCCTTGGGGCCCTTGCGCTTCTTCGCCTTGGGCTTTGCGTCTCCCGTAGCCTGATCTCCAATAGACTGATCACCTTGTCCCTCATCCTCTCGTTTCCTCTTCGGGGCCGTGGCCGCATCTGGCTTCCGCTGTCCCTTGAGTCCCAACTTGAACTTTGATTTTTCCTCTCGCTCGCGGTGTTGCTCCGTGACATCAGCCATAGACTCCATGAGCACTATAGACTTGGATAGGTATATGATGGGTACGCCGGCGATCTGTCGCATCTTTGCGCGCGTGCTCGGGTCGTTTGCGGCGACGACATATCGATGCTTGTTTGTCGCATTGTCCTTGGGATCCACCACGGAGCTCAGGCACTCCAGCGTGCTCAGCGGCTTCTCCAGATCTTGATGGTTGCACCGCCGACGTTCGTACTCCTTGGCTTGTAATATGAGGGTCTCGTTCTTGGGTTCTGCGAGGTAGAGGTGTCGCATGTCGCACGTCGTGATCATGGGCTTTACCTGCCCGCCGAGCATCTTCTGGAGTCGCGCGAGGAGGTCGATTTTGCAGGAGTAGGCATCTTGGAGGATCTGTGAATCGAGCAGGACTTGGTAGGGTTCGCGGAAGCCGAAGTTGAGTTCGTATTGGTGGAGCTGCTTTTTGTACGCCTGTCGTGGGATTAGTATACTGCTCGAGGACCTGCAATAGGATTCTCTCTCTTACCTTTGCGCGCTTCAACTTCATGGCGACTGTGTGTTTGGGAGTGGTTGCTTACTCGCGGGGGAAAAAAGTTGGATGCAGCCAAAAGTTTGGACCCAGAGGGCGGAATCTAACGCATGCACCAGCCACACGCGTGCGACGCTAGCCCCGTATGCGACGTCTGCGGCTTGGAGACACCCCCGTTGCTCTCCGCTTTAGTAAATCCGCCTCAGGGCATCCCACGCCTAATTGTACATATTGTACGTACCCGCACATACATTTGGATTGCTCCCCACGGCGGCCCCTGCGCTTTTCCCTGTTGATACAACTGCGAACCTGCCTCTCCATGCGTTCCTCGCGGTAGTCCCCACCAGTATGAGCGAGAACCCCGCCGCGGCCCCCAAGAATGAGGGAAATATTGCCGAGACCGCGGAGGTGAAGAAGGAACCCAATGAAGCCGTTGAATACGATGATTTTGGCCTGCCTATACGGAAGAGGCGGCCCCGGACGCCCGTGGAAGACAGTTCCGACTCGGAAGGGGAGAAGTTTGAGGATGCCGTAGCCTCTACAGCGGCGCGTCCAAAGGAGGTCACGGTACCAGCACACGAAAAGGACGAAGCCAAGGCCGACAGTACAGTGGAGAAGCTTCCTGAGGTCGCACCTGAGGTTACTGCGAAGGAAAGCGATGCGACACCGCAAGTCAATGGGCAGGCGAAGGAGCCCGCGGAGGACCCCGACCCCAAGGCACCCGAAGACAAGCCTGTAGAAACGAAGCAAGACACACCCGAACCTACAAAGCCTCCCGAGACCACAGAAACACGCACAAGCACGACTGCCGCGCCTTCACTTCCCCACCAAACGAGCGTTCCGACCGTATCCGAGTATTCACATCAGCATGCAGTCATACAATCACAAAGAGAAGTCAAGGAGGAGAAGAAGGAAGAGGACGACGGCGAGTGGCAGACTATGCCCGCATACGCTCGATACGACATGTACGATGACGACAACAGGCTCATTGCGAAGGAGAACATGGAAGAGCTGGAAGACATGCACGGCTATGCCAACGTCGGAGGCGCCGCCAAAGGATACACCAGAGTCATCATGGACGACGATGCTGACTCGCAAACGAGCATGGACGACAACACCGCCTATCTGTTCAAGGAGAGGAGTACTGCACTAGCCGACGAAGACGAAGAAGGTCGGGATCCGCTCTCGCAAATGCAGGCGACCAAGAACCTCCTCACCGAAGGACAGCGTGTCGCATACGTCGGACTGGTACGATTGGCCATGGTGGAGATGGAACGGAAGTTCTCCAACTTCGAAACGACCAACAAGAAGATGAAGAAGCTGCTCGAGCTACAGTCAGGAACGACAAAGATGTGGGCACAGAAGATCATGGTCAAGATTTACGGGCACATGGACATCAACGCCTCTGAGCAGATCATGATTGAGCAATTGTCTGAACACGGCGTGGTTCCTGGAGACCTTACACCAGCACTGATGCAGAATGCTCGAGTAAAGAATCCCGCAGCGGAAGATGCGGACACGGTAAACGAATCAGACTCTGCCAGACCGTCTATATCGTCACCGCGCTCCGAATCACCCGCAGAGAAGTCAAAACTGAAGAGGGTTTCGACGATGGGGTCGCAAGACGACTTGCAAATACCGCCTCCCCCGCCGTACCAGGAACATCAAGATGACGATTTTGATTATCCAGAAGTTAGGTCGCCATCACAACTTCCCACTAGTAAGAACCTGGATATCGATTTGCGGTGGACCGTCTTGTGCGATTTGTTCTTGGTACTCATCGCCGACTCTGTCTATGACTCACGTTCACGAGAGCTGTTTCAGCAAGTGGGGCAATATCTCAGCGTAGACTGGCTGGAAGCTTGTCGCTTCGAAAAGCGTGTCACCGATGCTTTGGAGATGCAGGAACAAGCAGACAAAGAGAACTGGAACGAGGATGAACACATGGTCAGCCGAGCTAAGCGAGCACGCAACAAGCGATTGGCATTCATGGGTCTTGCAACTGTTGGCGGTGGTCTTGTCATTGGATTGTCTGCTGGACTTCTTGCTCCAGTCATTGGTGCCGGTCTCGCTGCGGGCTTTACGACAATTGGTGTGGCAGGTACGAGTAGTTTCCTAGCTGGTGCTGGCGGTGCCGCTATCATTACATCGACTGGCGTAGTCACGGGTAGTACTGTCGGCGTACGAGCCATGAACAGGCGAACAGGTGCTGTCAAGACGTTCGAGTACCGTCCGCTTCACAACAACAAGAGAACGCATCTCATCATTACGTTGGCAGGATGGATGAACGGAAAGGTTGACGATGTCCGTCTTCCGTACAGTACGGTCGATCCAATCATGGGCGATATATATTCCGTGCTATGGGAACCTGAGATGCTGAGGAGTATGGGTGACACAATCAACATTCTTGCCACCGAAGTGAGTTCATATATGCAAACTGCAAAGGTGCCTACTGACCACAACAGGCTCTCACACAAGGTCTCCAACAAGTCTTGGGAAGTACCGTCCTTACAGCTCTCATGGCCGCCATGACACTTCCCCTGGCTTTGACCAAGCTTTCTTACCTTATCGATAATCCGTGGATCGTTTCGCAAGCACGAGCAGACATGGCCGGATTGATTCTTGCAGACTCACTCATCGATCGCAACCTCGGGACACGACCTGTCACTCTTGTCGGTTTCTCGTTAGGCTCAAGAGTCATCTTCTCCTGTCTGAAAGAACTTGCGAATCGAGGGGCGTTTGGTATTGTGCAGAACGTCTATATGTTCGGTACACCGGCAGTAGCCAAGCATGATGAGTACATCAGGGCAAGATCTGTCGTACCGGGAAGGTTTGTCAATGGGTATGCTACCAATGACTGGATCTTGGGTATGTCGCACATCTTTCTTCTACTTGTTGTCAGCTGCTAACAGGTTGTCTAGGCTACCTTTTCCGTGCTACCAGTGGTGGTGTAATGCGCGTAGCTGGTCTCGCGCCTGTCCAGATCCCAACCATCGAGAACGTTAACGTGACCGAGTTGGTCCCCGGCCATATGGCCTACCGTGCCGCCATGCCCAAGCTACTCCGCGAGGTTGGCTGGCTAGTGGAATCCGACGAATTTGCCGAGATCGAAGATCCAGACCCGGAGAACCACGAGATCCGCCAGCGTGAGCTTATCAACGAGATCGAAGAAGCGCGAAAAGACCTGGAGAAGAAGGCACAAGAGAAGGAGAAGAAAGGCGGCAAACTCAGCTGGTGGAAGAAGAAGAAGGCCGACAAGAAAGACTGGGAAGTCTACGACGAACACTCCACTGCCGCTCCACCAGGCCACCGGAAGCTAGACGTAGACCAAGACCCAGCGAAACTCGCAGAGAACCAGGTCATGTTCGACATCGACGCAATCAGAAAGGAAGTAGCAACCCTAGCCGCCGAAAGCAAAGAATACAACGCCGAAGCCGAATTCGAGATCAAAGAGATCAAAAGCACGCTCCCACCCATGAAGATCGACATCGCAACCGTATCCCCATCCCAGACAACAAGTCCGTACTCGACGCTTAGGGAAACGAAGAGCTACAACGACAGTCTAGGTATACCAAGCACAGATGCCAAGAAACCTTCTTCCTCTTCTCCGTCCAACGGCCACTACGACGAATACGACGAATTCGATGACCCCGGCGCGGGTCAAATGGAAATGACATTCGACACCTCGTTCCGCGACCCCCCTTCCTCCGCTACAACACCGAATAAATACCCCCTCCCCGCATCACCCTTACCCTTGCAACCAAGTCGCTCTGGCACATCCTCGCCTTGGGACTCGGGCACACCCAGTAAAAACAACTCTGGTACTGCTCAGCCTTGGAGTGCAGATCCTGGTCAGCCGTCTTGGGACGATGCTGCAGGCCCTGCTGAACGTCCTCCGTTGCGCTCGGCGAAAACGGAATCGCATGCGAGTAGTCTGGGTCCTACTGCGCAGTCCACGGGTGATCTAGGACATAATGCTTGGGCTGATGAGTTTGAGGATGATTTTGGGCAGGAGAAGGAGGTTAAGATGAGTTTTATGTGATGGGAGGGGAGGGGTGGTATCCCTTTCTCGTTAATGTGGCGTATTGGGCTGGTTGCATGTTGTTACCCGTTTGCCGTTTCTCTCGCGCCTTGTTGCATATTTCAGCGCGCATTATGGAGTTGGAATGTCGTTATGTAGTCAGTAGTAGGCGTTTGTATTACGTGCGTTGGGTTGGGAGATGTGTTTGGCGTAGGCATTGGGTGGGTATGCGATTGGGTTGTCGTTTCTTGCTCATTGCTTGCGTAGGTGTCATAGATAGTAGATAATATCAACAACAACATATGTCATGCATTCTGACCACTTGGCACAAGCTTGGACAAGTTTTGTGTCATTAATCGTAACCTACTAAAAACTACTCGTATATCGTACACGGCTCTCCGAGCCACCATATGCGGCGCAAACTATGATATACCATGAATGTGCGTCACCTATGCGCTAATATCGCCAAACCCCAGGAGAAAGGAAAAACAAGGACGCTCAATGTGCGTCAGTATGCCATGCGTATGTATACAATTTCGAAAAGTCGCTCAAAACGGAATGGGTATCAAGCCGTTGCGTGTGCGTGCGGAGCCTCGGAAAAGCGCTTGGAACGCGGAAAGAGCGAGATCCCCTAGATCTCGGCTTCTTGCTTGCGACGACGGATGCTACCGAGACGCCTCTTGATTGCGCCGCCGACGCTCCTGCCAGTGGTGTTGCTGCGGCCGATGCCAGAGGCTTCAGCGTCGGTAGCGACGGAAGGGACGATGCCGGGTGCTTCGGCATGGCCAACGCTGCGAGTGCGAGAGCTGCGGGTGGTCATCTCTGTGCCGCTGTCGCCGAAGCGCTTGTGGTCCTTCAGGGCCTTCTCAATGGAGTAGGAAGGTTCGCCCTTGCCCTTGAGATCGTCTGGGTGGTATTCCTGCGACGTGTTAGCGAAGTTCAGCTTAAGAATCGTTGGAGGACATACAACACCAGGCCAACGACGGTAGTCAGCTCCAGGCTCTCGCATCAGGTCAGCACCCTCTTCATAATTGAGTACTCTTCCGAAACGATCAGCCATGCCAGGTGGTACGATGGCGACTCCCTCCAAGGGACGATGCCTTTGTACAGAGTCGACAATGTTCTCCCGTGGAGTAGCCCTCAAAGCCTCCTCGTTCGAGTCCTTGACCGCCGCGAGGGGACTGTATTTCTCGACGCGGTTGCGAGCGAGACTGGCAGCGTCATACGGGCCCTCGTGGTGGTACCGACCGAAGGGTGCCTTGTCGAGACGATCGATGACGTCGGCGCCTTGGAAGTTCTTTTTCCTAAGATGGGGAGCACGGTGAGCAACTTTCTCATCATGACGCAATTGGTCAAGAGGCCTGTGTGACTTGTCACCAGGATAGCGCTCTCTCAATGAGCCTGAGCGGTCGCGCGTAACTCCGCTCTTCTTCATGGACGCAGGGGCATTTTCGCTGGATCGTCGGGGCCGGCTTCCGTTCATAGGTCCGAAGATTTCCGCGCGGTGGTTGTCGGAGAAATGGGCACGTCTGGGGCTTGCAGAGGCAGGAGGGGATGGGTAATCATACCTCCTACTCTGCGGTGTAGTCTGCCCAACCTGCGATACTGATGCCGAAGCGCCCTTTGCCTCGGATGAAGCCCGGGAACGGCGGAATGGGTTGGTCTCGACGGAACTGCCGGTGTTGTGGACACTGACGGTTGGGTGGCTTTTGGCGTCTCCAGCGGATCCGGGCGGTGTGATGGGTGCTGCGGGAGCATATGTGGAGCGGAAGTGGCTGTTGAGGCCAGTCTCGTCGCTTGGGTCTGGTTCGATCAGAGGATCGATCAACGCATGATGGGCCTGCTAAGTCAGCTTCAATGTCTAAAGATGATATATCGCGCTGGATGAGTCGTGCCGGCGCACGTGGGAGGCACAGTAGATGGTCCAACCAGGTGCCCGGAACAAACGGGAGATGAACACTTACTGCGTCCATTGCCATGATGGTAGGTTTGTGTGCTAGTGTTTGATAGTTGGCGAACTTGGGAAGGTTGAGTAGTTGTAGTGTTGGAAATTAGTGGTCAGACGAGTGTCAGGTGCTAGATGGATACGAGAGGAAAGAACAGGTGACGGGAGGGAGAGCGAACTACATAAAGGCCTGACTTGGCAGGTACCGTGGACGCGTACATCATCGGTTCGCAGTCGCGGCCCTGCGTCAGATTTCTTCTTGTCCGCTCTTGGTGGAAAGAGCGGCCCAATCGCTGCCATACGTCATGCGGATGCGCTAGGCTGCAAGTGGGTCCGCCGCTTGGTCCTCTCCACGAGTGACGACAGCTACGATGATCCCTCACCATCACGATCCAGCCCGCCATGTCGCTGGTCGATTATCCAGATTCTGCCTCGGATGATGATGATAAGAGCCTCGATGTCTCTGCCCAGACGGCACAATCTGCCGCCAAACCTACATCGAAGCGCAAGCACAGCGCCTCTGGGGATGCCCTGCCACCGCTTCCGCCAGCCTTTCACGACCTCTACGCGACAAATGCGCGCGTCAGCACTAGCGACAACCCAAGCCTACACGGTGGACGAAAACGGGCTGTACCTCACGTCGAGGGCAAGTGGCCTAGTCATGTTTACTTAGAGTGTAAGGATACCCAGAAATACTCACCACCAATATGGATGACAGACTAACGCGTTCGAGGGATACCTACACAGCCTGAGTCTGATGCTCTACACAGCCTACTACAGCATGTGAGAGATACTATTGATCTTGAAAATGCCAAGCGAACGAAGAAACTGCCCGTACCAGAGATCATACCATCTCTTCAGTCAGAACTGGGTGCGTCGCTACCTCTTCATGTGTCGTTGTCGCGGACCCTGCAGATCAACACCGACAGCAGAGAACCTTTTCTGGAATCATTAAGTGTTGCTGTGAGGCGATCCGCAGTGCGCGCTTTCAATTTTGAGTTTCAGAACTTGAAGTGGGTGTCCAACTTTGAGCGCAATCGATGGTTTCTAGTCCTGGGCATTAAGAAGTCACGGCTCAACGAACTTAACCGCCTGCTACAAGCATGCAACGACGCGACCCAATACAGCGGTCATCCAGGTCTGTATACAGGCGGAGTGGGAGACGGTCCGAAGGAGAGCCATGACTCTAATGACGGTCCGAAGCGGAGGAAGGTCGACAAGAATGAGCCTCAAAGCCATGATTATTCGCAATATTTCCACGTCAGCATCGCTTGGAACCTGGCTGAGCCTGACCCTGGGTGGGTTGCTCTGGTCCAAGATATCGACACCAGTAAGTTCGTTCAGGCACCTGAGGCTGCATTTGATGCCGTCAAAGTAAGGATTGGAAACACAGTCCATAATATTGCCCTGGCTAGCAAGAGAGCCGGTCTGGGGAGGGTCGGAGGAGGGCTGGGTTTGGCATGATCATCGCATTGCGATGACGTGCCGGGTTCTGGATTCGCAAGCTCGCCAGGGTCTTATCTCCTGTTGGGTGTCAGGAATTATGGACCCGGCAGCACGTTCCAACAACAACACGGCACACACGAACAGATTTCTTACGTGCGCACAACTCTGAGCATGGAGGTCTTTAATCAGGAACCGCCTCATTTGGCGACTGGATCTCGGATGCGATGTAGGAAATCACTTCGAACCGTAGAATACTTTAGACTGACGTAGGTAATTGCGGACAGCGATCGCGCAGTACAAGAAAAAGCAACTCGATCGATCCCAACTCATGGAGCTCATACTGGTTCTTTTCGAAGAAGAAGAACAATGGCATCATGTGATTGCTCCTTTCGCATCTCATTCCAACGGCTTGCGGCCCCAGGCACAGCGTTCACCGAACATCACTTGGCTCAAAGCTTGACGCAGATAAGGCGCGTTGCGACATGTAACCTTATTTGCCCTCAGTAAGCACTAACTTGGCTGGACTCACGCGACCGTCGAGCCACGTTGATCTCGGACGAACCTCATGCACATGTGAGTTATGCATCTCCAGGCCCTCTGGAACAGCCCATCAATTGATGGCTAAGGGGATGGCATCTCGACGGTCATTTCCAGTTTCTAAATTCATGTCTGTGGCGGCTGGCTTTCGAGGCGCAAACTTTCGGCACTTCGTGCAGTTTCGGGCCCGACGCGTCAAACTCGCGCTGTGTACGCATTCGCGACCCGAAGGTCCGCGCGAGGACGAGACACGTGACACTTGAACTAGGCAGCAGAACGTACGTCGATGTATATATCGCGAGGTTTGAAGGTGTGATATCAGTTATATTGGATCTTGATTCACGAAGCTCCAGTTGTACCACTTTCCGCTTTGCTCACGCCCTGCATTTACAACTTGAGGAACTTGTCGTCACCAGAAAATCGCGAACAGCAATCCAAGTCCATCAAGACACCAGTCAGCAACTTGCAACCCCATTGAATAGCGATGGGATCAATCATGAAACCCTTTCAACCCAAGATTGGCCTAGTTGGCGCTGGCCCTGCCTCTCTAACCCTCGCCAACATCCTTCAGAAGCACTCTATCCCCTTCATCATCTTCGAGTCCGCGTCAGAACTCCGCACGCAAGGCGGCTCCCTGGACCTCCACCCAGAATCCGGTCAACTCGCCATCAAAGAAGCAGGGCTATGGGAACCGTTCGCCAAACATGCACGCCCAGAGAGCGACTGCATGAAGGTTGTGACTCTGGACGGAGAGGTACTCTGGGATGAGAATGGCGCTGACAAGCAAGACATCAAAGAAGATGAGAAGTTTGAGGGAAGGCCTGAGATCGATCGAATGGCGTTGGCGACACTGATGTTCGAGAACCTGAAGGAGGGGTCCGTACAATTCGAAAAGAAGTTGAAAGAAGTCGTGCCCTCTGCTGAAGGAGAGGGAAAGTCCGATCTGCACTTCTCAGACGGCACGAAAGAGTCTGGATTCGATCTCGTGGTCGGTGGAGATGGCGCATGGTCTAAGGTTCGCAAACTTCTCACCGACCAAATGCCACAGTACTCAGGCATAGCTTCTATCGCAGTGTCGTGCAAAGACATCAAG